TATTGTAAGTAATTAACTGGAGAAATTTCTAGCTGATACCTTTAAGTTAAAAAAATTACCCTATTCACCTGGGGTGTCTCGCCTTAACAAGATACTGAAGATACACTGTCTAAAAACAAGACACTAAATCTTACTGCATTCTTACTTCTTAACCCTCCTGTTATATTCTATATTCGTTTTGTAACAGCAATAATATTCCTTTGTACCTTTTATTTCTATCAATGAAATCAATATTTAGTGCAATTGTGTTATTCACCTCTCACAGATCATGGTTCCATTACAATAAGTCACTTGTTTTTCACAAAACATTTACACTCAAACACATTTTTCTATTTTTTCTTTTACATTGGAAAAACCTTGATATAAAATACATTAGTTTTGCATAACATAACATTTGTCCAATCGGTTGATGTTGATAAATAGAGACGAGACACCTCTTCTGTTCAGGGTCAAATTGACCCGTTCACTTAGAATCAAGCCAAATCAGTCATAATAATTTGTATTGAAAGTGTTTTATTGTAACAGCAATTTTGTGTGTGTGTGTGTGTGTGTATGTCTGTCTTTGTGTGTGTGTGTGTGTGTGTGTGTCTGTCTGTCTGTCTGTCTGTGTGTGTGTGTGTGTGTGTGTGTGTGTGTGTGTGTGTGTGTGTGTGTGTGTGTGTGTGTGTGTGTGTGTGTGTGTGTGTGTGTGTGTGTGTGTGTGTCTCTCTATGTCTGTGTGTTTGTGTGTAATACAATACAGTTGCCTATATCCCATTTGCACTTCTGACCCCTTTTCGCCTTCACTTACACTGCATGGTCAAATTGACCTGAATACAATCTCTGTAATATGAACATACATACATGCCATGAACCATTGTCATGTGTATATGTTTATAGCACTAATTAAGAAAATTAAAAGAAGTTTCATACAAAAAAATACTTCAAATATAAGACAGGTCAATTGAGCCTGAATGTAACAGGAGGCTTGTTAGTATGTCTTATATCAAGTGTAAAGCCATATTCTGACTAGATATACAAATATATTGTCAAGATTTAGCGTTAAGTAATATACTGCACAGCAACAATATCAAGATGTATTTCTGTATACTTTTAGTACACAGAAATAAATGTAGTTAAGCTGTTTAGCCAGCAAAATAAAACTAGCAAGCTAGCTAGCTATGTTAGCTGGCTTTAGGCTAACTAAACAGTTGAATCAGTTGGAGCGAAAGTTATGTTACTCCACTCACCCAGGAAAACAGCAACAAGGCTTGAAACTGTTAACAGGTTCCTGTTCGTGAAAACACTGCAACACGTCTTCAAGAAATCCATTTTTCAAGCAGAAAGTCGATGAGAAAGGACGACACCTTCTGGTTTCAAGAGGTACAACTAACAGTCCGACTGAAGGAAAACACACACGGAGTTATGTTGCTATGGTGATGAATGCTTTCAAAGAGTAGAAGCCTACAATTTTTTTTAAAGAAAAATATTTAAAAAAAAAATCTATTCTAGAAAGTAAATCATGTTCAACATAGAGAACTTTACCAAACAACTTCTTATTGCTATGACTTCTTAATGTGAAGCCTTATTGAAAAAAAAAATGAGTAAAACATACATATTTCCTTGTTAATGTGGAACTATCCAAATAATACAATTGGTGCAAAACAATTGTATATGTTTCCTTGTCTTTACCTTCAAATCATATAGGCCTAATTGTTTTGTAATTCTGAAATTAAAGTAGAAGAATACAATATTATGAGTGGATGTTCAACATTGTTTACGGAAATAATTTGTTTAACATCTAATCCACACAAAATGTTTCTCCTGGTTCACCGAAAGTACATGGATACTCAATATTAATAAAACAAATCATTCTAAGTGTTATTGAAAATGCATGATCTCCTGAACTTTAGCCAAAGAAAATGCTCATTAGCCAAAAACAATCTTGATGGGGCAGAGTTACAGTTTATCATTCCTGGCGTATTTATTTGAGCATCCCTCTGTTAGATGGATCAATCATTTGAAATTTACTGGAGAAGCTCCAGTTATTTAAAAACTCCAACTTCTTCAAACTCAACATAGTAATGTTGTAGGCGTTGTTTATATAACAACACAATGTAATGCTCCTACATGTTTTTTGTAATGTGTATTAATATTTGATCGAAAGTCAAGTTTGCGCTTGGTAGATGTTATGGGTAGATGATAACGTGTACTGTACTGCATGATGTCCATAAAAGCTTTTATTTTGAAGTCCCCATAATTTCGCTAGCTTGACCATGTCGGCGCTGTTTCATGAAGGTTGTCGTTCCCCTCAAGTGGCTGTGAAGCAGGACTCCGGACCGGATTATAGCAGCAGACACCGCCGAGCTGCCGACTGGCATTTCTGCCCTTAATTCGCCTTCAACAAACGGTCGGACGACATCGACATTGTCTTCCAGGGTGACGTATGCAGAGAGGTAAACCGTGGATCGGGTTCTGCAGCGCGGCTGTCATTGACAGCTCTCGTTATCAACAGTAACGGTTAGCTAGGATTCCTCATTGGCCAGGCAGGAGCAATATGGGTTATTAAGCCTCGTAAAAAATAGAATTTAAGCAGTTGTGAAGAAAAGAAAAATAGATAAAGACAGATTTAAATCAGGTATGTAATTCTAAAGTCTAACAGTTGTGTTGTTATTCAGTGGAGGTTTTTGCTCATCGCCCTGTTAGCGTTAGTGGGACTCTCTGCTAGCCTGATGGCTGCCGCTCTCAGAGGACCAGCCCCGGGTGTCTCTGTGCCAGGGACGTGCACATACATTTTGGGGGGCAGGAGCTCAAGTGAGAAAAAGGGCACTTCCCATAATTATTTATAAAAAAAGGTTTTCAAACAAAAAGTTAAATATAGTTGCATATCTCTGACTTTCTGACCAATTTATTTGAATACCCCCACACTCACGTAATTGCTTAATACTCAACATAATTCTACACAAATAATCAGCTAACACAGAGATAATGGTCTTCTTTAGTATTCACTACGCACAAGAGCAGACAACAAACTAGTACAATTAATAGTTATTACAGGGTGTCCGCGGGGTCTTAAAAAGTATTAAAAGTTGATAAATCAATTTTGCGAAAATTAAGGCTATTAAAAAGTATTAAATGGCATTTTCCAAGGTATTAAGGAGGTCCACAGCAACGACAACATGAAACACCCTTTAATTTACTGAAACGACATGTCGGGAAACCCCCTCAAGGCGGCCCCATGCATAGCGTGCCGTAAAATGCTGCTTCTTATTTTAAGTTTCGTTGCCTTGCTCCGCTCTGGGGGGGGGGGGCACTAAACGACTACGGTAACGATAACGGGTCCCAAGGTGGGTAGACCGGCATACGCAACGCTCTGGGGGTCCAACGGCTCCGTGTGCAAGCCCTATATGATCATTTTCTGATAATGATGAAATAGCCCCGCCTCCCTCTCCCCACGTCTCCTGCTGCTGCTGGGCTGTCAGAAGAGGGGGAGGAAAAGAGAGGCAGGCACCGTTTATTAAATATTATTATATTATTATACAGAGAGTCGTTATCAATTTGTTTTAAAGCTCAATAAATAACAAAGAAGACCTCTGACCCGCACCTTCCTAATTTTGTACGGAAGATTTAAACTTTAACGGACATGTTGACCGGCGGAACATTTTTTTAACGGAAACTCTGCCGCACGGTCCCCTCGTTCCTTGGAAGAGGCGGAGAGGTGGGTGTTGTTCAGCTGCTGGTGGACTAACTGAGAGATATACAGCAGGAGAACACGCGCCGTCCGCCGCGGAGAATAAACAGAAGGGCAACCATGGCAACCATGCTCCGGGGTCTTCTTCGCTGCTTTTGGTGTATTTTGTGGCGGCAGCAGCGCCACTTACAGGCCTGGCATATGTACTTCAGCGTTTCCAGCATTTCCAGCGGTCTAGTGTGAATGGACACGTTAATGAGTCGAATGCGTGTGAACGGAAGACTTTTTTGTGTTTGCGTATGCGTTTTAACGTACGCGTCCTCGTGGGGCAGGGGTCTAAGCCAAACTATATCCGGTCACAGAGATCGGCTATTTTAAAGTAAAGTCAACACATATCGACCCTAAATATAGTCTATATTAAGAACGAGAAAAGTCTTAACATCGTTTTTTGCGAACATATGACAAATGTGTGAGGGGCTTAGCCCCGGACAGCCCCAAACCAATTTAACCCCTGGGTATTTGTGAGGGAGCTCCTATATGGCATTACCCCGCTGAAGCTCACCAAAGTTTAATACATTTCATAGTTCAAAGTTTTGTCAAGTGTTTGTGTATTAATGGTCAAATTGCATTAAACACCTGACCTTCTCACAGAGAGGTTGAAGTTTCATGTGGGAAAGGTGAGGCTTCAGTGGTCTGTCTGCCACTCTGTTTATTGTGCTATCTTACAATTCCAATATTAGTAAATGTGAGAGGTAAAGTTGTAACCGTTAGAAACTCGAAGTTGCCGATGAGGTCTTAACATTGTTATGAAAAGGGTCTGAAAAAGGTCTTAAGAAAGGTATTTAAATTTGACTTCAGGATTCCTGGCATATACCCTGTATTAAATGAGCAGCCCAGCAAATCTAAATTGTATGAAGTTACTGTTTTAAAAGGCGGGCAGGACCGCTTACAGCGCAAAAAATAATTTTTTTCATGTACTTGTACCATTTTGTTATTTTGGACTATTTTGTTTTCCATTGTTTTCTTTTCACTCTAATGGAAAAGAAAACTTTAAAAAAAACACCATAAATGGTGTTCGTTTTACTACCCTTGTCTGAAATTCATCTATAGATATAAACGCAAATCTGCATTTAAACATTAATATTTTCCAGGGAGAAAATACTGAACTTGGCGTAATGTAACTATCTGGGGAAGTTGTGAGTTGATATGTTTTTTTGTATCCTTTTCACCTGCACATGCCTTGGTAACTGCATGGCAAATGCGCGATTTTAATTAGGCCTATAGTTAACGCCTAATTTGCCATATCAATGTGTGCGATTGTGATGACGTTATTAGATACACATTTTACTTCATTCCACCTGTAGTGTCCCCCCTTAAGTTCATTAGCCTGTATGCATTGCCCCATCAGGGCCGGTTCCTGGCCAACATGAGGCCCCCCACGCAAAGTTATATGATGAGGCCCTCTGTTTTCCTGAGCGTCGGGTGTGCTAGTGGAGCCTCGCAGCGGCGAAACCGTGCCGCGCCACACTAATTTGCAGCACAATAGGTGCGCCGCCATTTTTCGGCTCAGTTGAGGCACCCTCCGCCAAGGTGAGAGCCCACGCAGGTCTGCATGATCGGCCTGTAGGGAGGGATTTTGGGCCCTGATGCCCTGACATTAGCTTAGTTACCCTAGTTAACTATATTTGTTTTTTGTCTTTGGCAAATTAGCCTGTTAAACTCGAGGGCACCTGGCAGTTTAGTTCATTTGTTCATCACCAACTCACGCTTCAGACAAGCCAAGAAAAAGCTGGCATAACGTGGGGAAATAAGGGTGGAGGTGCTGCTGTAATTGTGTCTGTCTGGAAGTGAACTGCAGATGACTGCCCCGCTGTGCAGAAGACATGGAGGAGAGCTGTGAGAGAGAGAGCATCGGGAACTTCACTGTCTTCTCCCGGACCCTGATATTTTTTATTTTGGATTCAATATATTTTGGAGAGAAACTGTGCCAGCAAACAGCAGTATATATATAAATATATATATATAGGCCGGAGGACTCGATTTAAAAAATTGAATGTCGTAATTAATTACGCTTTGTTAATTAAAATAATCGAAGATTAAATCGGCGCGCGATTTGATTTGATCTGACATTGTTGAATATATTGACTTGAGAATCAGATGTTATTAATATCGTAATTTTTTAATCCATTTTTATTAAATATTTTAATATATCCTGTTTGATGATGACTGACTATACATAAGCATTTTTGTGCAATACATGGGTTTTATTTGTTTATTCAAGGTGCGTACTTACCAAGGACCAACAGAATAAGTGCAATTTTTGCCATAAAAAAAAGTGTAGCAATAGCATATTTAGAATATTAGTACATTCAGAGATTTCAGGTAGCCTATAGGTTATGGTAGGACCTTCTGTAAACTATAACACTTTTTTTTTTAAGTAAAACCACATACTTTCAAGTCATATTTCAGAACATTGGAAACCCTGGACTATTAGAAAACATCTCTCTTGTTGGCTTCAGGGCCATAATAGACCTTTGTTGATTACCAACAGTGATCTTAAAAAATCTAATCAATTCAGTCTAACTCTCTCAATAACCCTTGGCCCAAAACAATAAACAGTTCAACATAAAGTGCCAGTTGGCACCAACCAACAAATAATAGTTCGAAGGCATAAGAGTGTACCATTTAAAATAAAATAAAAATGTAGTGCCAGTGATTGACCTCAATCCTTCCTATTCTTCATTACCTGAATGAAAAATAAAATCCTCTGCATAGGCCACTGTTATCAAGTCGGCGAATTGGTGTGTTCCTGTACTCGATGTGTAAACCTCTCACCTCCGTCTATGTGTGTCTACGCTAGCTGCTATATGTTTTGCATTGAGGTGATACTTGAGGCTTGATGTGCTGCGGTGATATGCGAATTCCTTTTTGCATAATTTGCAAACAACCGTGCTCTTATTGACGCTTCCATCCGTCCGTTTTTTAAAACAAAATGTCCCATCCACGGGGCCAACCAAAGCGGTATCATCAGCTTCTTCGTTCATGTTTGACTATTGTTCACTGTGGTTTGTTGTTGTCTGAAGTCATGAACGTTAGTTGGTGCTCCAGTATAATCGGTACCCCTGAAACTCATTCAGTGAGAAACGTTCCGCGGTCCAAAAATAAGTGCGATTAAAATGCGTTAATTTTTGTGTAATTAATTAATCTTAATTAACGCGTTAAAGTCCCGGCCCTAACTCTCTCAATAACCCTTGGCCCAAAACAATAAACAGTTCAACATAAAGAGTTGCACCAACAACATAATATCAGGCATAAGAGTGTACCATTTAAAATAAAATAAAAAGAGTGCCAGTGATGACCTCAACAGTTCCGCGGTGATCAAGTCGGCGAATTGGTGTGTTCCTGTACAAAAATAGTCACGTAGCTGCGATTAGTGATGAATTTGATGTGCGTATATATTCCTTTGTGATAATTAAATCAATCTATGACGTTCCAACGTCGTTAAAAAAATGTTTTCCTCGAAAGCTATCACTCCATGTTGGACTATTGTTCACTTGTTTGTCAATATAGTTATGGTGTCAAATAATCGGTACCCCTGAAACCATTCCAGAATTTTCAAAAATAAGTGCGATTAAAATGCGTTAATTTTTGTGTAATTAATTAATCTTAATTAACGCGTTAAAGTCCCGGCCCTAATATATATATATATATATATATATATTGATTTATTGGAAGGAAAAAAAAAGCACCCCATAAAAAGGGCACTTTCTCTGGAGGAAGAAAAAGGGCAGGGGCTCAAGCCCACTTTGATGTCTATATGTGCACGTGCCTGCTCTGTGCCATATGTCCAGTCCTGTGTTATAACGGCAGGTTGGCTACAGTTTATTGTGTCATCTTATATTCTCCCAATTCTTCCACAGGGACCTGTGCATTATTGTAGCTTGGCCCTACCAGCCCTCCCTCTCCAGGTACCGTGCCGCTTCCGTCATCTCTCCTCCATTAACGGGATGCTGGAGGGACCCAGACCACCCACGCACCGGCACGCTGAGGCCACGTTCAAGGGCTGCAGGAGTTTCTAAAACCTCGGTGACGAGGAGTAATGAAGTGACTTCATCGTGAGACTTTCTCTGTCACTCCTGGGTGGGCACAGTGAGCCACACAGAAGCCCTGGAGGGGGGGCTTTGAATCCTGATGACTGAACTCTTTACCTCACATGAGTTGAATGAGAATGGAATCTGTGGATCTCAAAAGAACAAATATAGATAATATGTGTTCTATATTTGTGTAATAAGGCGCAGTATTGTGTGAAATATATCTTATCAGGTTATCACATCGCAGCCTTGATCATTGTGACATCATGATGGTGGGACCCCCCTTCCCCTCGTGTCTCAGGACTACTGCTATCTAAAAAAAACGTTGGTTAATCTGTGGGAACAGAGCACCTGTAGAGAGGGTGGTGGTCCTCCAGCATCATGGACTACCATGCTGAGTGCTGCTTCTGTGACCCCGAGGAGGGCTATGGCAGCCCGGATGAGCCCCCCCTCCACAGTATCCACGCTCAAAACCGCATCAGGCCATCATCGTACCGAGCCCTGCGGAGCGCCGTGTCCAGTCTGGCCCGCATCGACGACTTCTTCTGTGAGAAGATCGGATCAGGCTTCTTCTCTGAGGTCTTTAAGGTATGTGTTGTAACAGCTGTCAGGGGGGAAATCGTGGTTTATCGTCACTGCGCTAAATGTCAATCAATCACTGAAGTCAAGAGTGTTCCACTTCCTGCAGCTGACAGTGTGAACTTTACCTGTGATAATCCAGCCTGTCCTGAGCTCATAGAGCTCTTTAAATAGTTTGTCTGAACAACTAAAAGCCATGATATTGGCCTTAAAATACCCAGGGCAGTTTTTTTGTAGAAAGGGAGCACAGCTATGATTGTTCCTCTGTGACAGCAGAAGAGTGGAGGTGTCCCTCCCCACCTCTGACCAACACAGTCCAAAAGGTGTCCATCTTTGTCATTTTGACAGTCTGGGTCCTGGAATTTAGAAATAATCTTTTAAAACCTGTTCGATAATGCACATTTTATAGCACTTTAGTTACATTTTTTACATAAATAATACACAGTAAATGGTATGCATTCATTCATAAGGGCATGGAGAGAAAACTTTCATTTTCTTTTCTTTTTTTACTGATATTGCAATTGTGCTATAATTCACAATATAAAAGGAACGATTATTCTTAAATTTTTAAGCGATGATGGTGTGTGAGGGTCTTTAGAACACCGTTTGTAGGCTCGGAACATTCACTAAATGTGAATTATGAGAGATCGCCCTCAGTCAGTGTTTAAACCTTCAGATTTGAGTACCGGTACATTGATTAAAAGAAAATCAGTCAGTGGCAGCAAATATCTGCATCTGGACAGCCTGGAACATTTCATGGATTTTATGTTAGACTTGAAAGAGAAAATAAAACAACATGAATTTAAAAACTGCTAAGCAAAACATTTATAAATAAAAAAATAATCCAATAATTGTTTAATAGGCGTATTATTATTATAAAAAACATATAATTGATTGATGGTGCTGTACTGGCCTGTACAGTAGTATTTGGAATGTTGCTCGGGTGAGGGATTCTACAAAATGTTTTCCAGCTGTTCCTCCACTCTTATCTGAAAATAAATCTTTACACACTCCCACCCAGGAAAAGAGAAAGCAGCTATAGAGGACATTGCTGTTTAAGGGTTTGATTAGATTCTCTATACCTAATTTCCTACAAATAAATAAATCCCATTTACATCAACTTACACTCCTTTTATTTTGGTTTTCCTACTGTTTTTGTTAGAAAGTGAAATAGGTCATAATTTCCTTTTTAATATCTGTTTTGCTCTTTGAAATCAAGTCAAGTCAAACATGAAGCCTGAGAGATCTATCTGCTTCATGTGATCATCACTGTGCTGACAGCATGTTCCACCTCCAGCCACCTGTCTCACCGATGAGTTTGATACAGAAGAGCTGCACAGAGAAAGCCTTTATTTAAAATGTTACAAATGGAACATGTCCATCTTTTTTATCATCTTGACTACCTGACCTCTGTCATGTTATGATTAAAAGTCCTGATTTAAGTCCTGATTTCAACACTTAAGTGGAGGTACCAAAGTATTAGCATCACAATATACTTCAAGTTCAACAAGTAAAAGTTCTGATTCAGTACAATGACCCTTTTCAGAATAAAATAGGTGCAGAAGTATTATCAGATAAATGTACTTCAGTTTCAAAAGGGAAAGTACTCATTATGCAGAATGGATTATGGTTAATGTGCTATCCTGTTTTTATACATATAAGAGCATTTTAGTATTGCAGTTGGTGAATTTGGATCAACTTAGATACGTAAAATACTTTGTAGATCAGTACTACAGTACTGCAGTACCATATCAGCGTGTGTGTTTTCATGTACTGAGTAACCAGTAACTGTGAGTGTTAAAATAAATGTAGTGGAGTCAAAAGTACAACATTTGCCTCTGAAGGTAGTAGAGTAGTAGCATTTCATGGACATTTGGTCAAAATCTTAGGGTAGGAGCAGACTGTTTTCAGGCCAGGTGACTGTAGGACTGCAGGACAGGACACAAGGTTGTTTTCTGGTTATCCAAACATATGGAAGTATTTACAGAATTGAGTGGTGAATGAATGAATCTTCAAACCCAGAAATGAGTTAGCATTTATTACTTCTAGGTCCCTCTTCTCTAAGTCAATGGTTTTTCCATGTGATTTGGTTAAATGCCTGAAATAAGGTCTGTGGTAACACAAGCTGAAGAGATTTTCACATTTTGTTTTATGACATAAAAAACATAAGTAAATAACGCACTGCTAAATGTCTGAAGTGTCGGCTGCTCACGAGTGACTGAATGAAACAAATAACCACAACATGCAGAACATTAGCCGCCTTTAGCTTAGCGATGGTGACGTAAAGTCATGTGACTGTGATGTAGTTTGTTTATTTCCTATCGTTTGTGTGGGGGAAACTTCTGTGTAGCAATGCATTGGGAGTCACCGACTCATGAAGGAGAAACGGGATGAGCAGGAGCTTTGATTTCAAACACTGATGGTTTATTTAGGAGGTTCGGCCGGAGGATTCACATCACAAGTCACAGCAGCCACGGTCTGACTGCACGGGAGAGTTGCCACATCAATTCTGGAGCGCCTCTCTCTCGTTAGCCCATTTAACTGGTTTCACAGAGAGTAATCAACATATTTGAGAAGATAGCCTAAACAGCTGGGAACACTGAGTTACTTGCGTCTGGCACTTATGGCCTCGAACATTTCACACCTTGGAGACCACAAACACCGAGAAGGAAGTGTCCCAGTGTACCCACAACAATAAACCATCTGTGACCTAGGGTTGCCCGGTCATAGAATGGGAACAACAACATTATGGCTGAAGCAGCCCATTTCCTTAAAGGAGATAACAGACGTCAGGGTTGGTCATACACGTCAAAGGGCAAAAAGGTTAGGTATCTAGGAGTCCAGGAGAATTATTTCCCTAACAGTTAGCTTTATACTTCTGTTGTTTGCGTTCAAACATAATCATAAGTCGGGATTCATTTTATATAAGATATAATATGAGAATGTGCTGACCACAGATAATATTTTCAGCAATATTTTAAACTTTCAAAGCGGCCCTATACGTTATTACTTCACCAGTATATTGCAGAAAAAAGTAATAACCCCACCGATAAAAATACATGAGTTGATTTATTGACTTACAGATAACACCCTCACGTTTAAATTACTACCAACAAATATCAATGAATCTTCTGGCATCCAACACATTTTTCTGTCTAGATCTTTAATAAAGCCAATCATTTATTGTACAGTTGGAACCAATTTATACAAATGCTGAAAAACCTCAATTTGGGGGTTTGTGTCTGTGTAAGAGAGAGGAAGGTCACTTCACATTGCACTTATTGCTTTTTTAAACTTATGACCAGAACCAGCACTGACTGATGCAGCATGGATCAATGCTCATGTTGTACACTTCAGTTTAAAATGCTAACAGTTTATTGAGCCAGCTGCTGGGTCTCGCCCCAGGACAGCCCAGTGGATTTGTGCAGCAGATCAGGAGGAGTGATGGGACATCCAGAAAGCCTATTCGCGCTACACTATTAATACACACACACACACACACACACACACACACACACACACACACACACACACACACACACACACACACACACACACACACACACACACACACACACACACAGATGCATGAGCTTGCAGGTCCAGACTCTGAATGGACTTCGAAGCACATTACCAGTGTTTTTGTGATGCTTCTAATAATAATAATACATTTTTTATCAACTTTAGCACACAACATTTATTGTTGAGGTGTTTACAGCAGCCATTACTCCACTCATTGTGCAGTCAGCTTCACGAGTCAGAGCTCCAGCACGTTGTGAGAGGGATACAGTCTTCTGGACTCCATCGTGTTTTTCACACTGATGCTTGTGTGGGGAGAGAAAAGTAGATGTAATAGGTGGGGATGGGCCGATGCATCTTCTAGACATTAGCATCAGCCCAGAGAGTGTTTTCAACTTCTGATCACTTCTCTTGGAGAAATGTTTCACAACTTCGGGACTTTTTCTGAAGTTTTGCTGCTGATTCAGTCTGCCGTGTCAACGCAGCGCCACACTCTAAGCCGTTATATTTCACTGTTCAGGCACAATTCTGCAGTGTTCTTAATGTGCGCTGGCCGGGCACTTCAAATAAAAAAATAAATATATATATATAATCCATCCCGGGCTCCGTTTGTGTTGACAGGAAATGCCAAGACTCTGTTCACCTTTATTTTGTTATGTTTTTCATGCCTTTTTAAATGCATGAACTAAAACTAACTTGATCAGTGTGTTCATTATCAAAAATGTTAATGCTTGGACATTGTATGCTATTATTTATTTATTTTATTCTCATAAAAACCTAACCACTGACCGAACTTGTTCTTAATGAGTTGGTAATTAAACAGCAGGCTACAAAGACTTTGAATTTGTGCTTATCCAGAATTATTAAATATTTTAAATAAAAATATTATGTGTTTCCCTTGCACATTAGAATAAATTACCACAATAAGGAAAAAGAAAAAAGTCAGCATCGGTAACAGTTTAGGCCAAATTGTGACACTAAACATCAGCTTATAAATTATAAAGAAAAATGCATCTGCAAATAGGAGAGAACTGCTAACCTACTTAAATAGCTTATTGTGTATACAGTATACACCTTGGACATTAATCCTCACATACTATACACAACACAAACTGTAGTTCTAATAAGTCTAGCTTATTTAAAAAACGAATGCACCCTTACTTACAGTTGTTTGGTTGATTTGAATCAAATGGACTTGGCTGTTCTGAGTTTGTACCTGCATGTTTTACTGCACTTATTGTAAGTCGTTAGGGATAACAGTGTCAGCTAAATGAAATATAATGTAATATGGCTGTTTTCCAGGTGCAGCACCGGATCACAGGCCAGGTGATGGCGCTGAAGATGAACACGCTGGCTAGCAACAAAGCTAACATGCTACGAGAAGTGCAGCTCATGAACAGGCTCTGCCACCCAAACATACTCAGGTAGGTCACAAAGTGTTTATGCTGTAATTTAAGTAAATCAGTAAGTAAAGTCATTTTTCCGTTATAGCTATATGTGCCTACTCATTAATGTGTGTAGCTTGTCTTTTCACTCAAAACAGTGATCAGGTTCAGTCTCTTCATCACACAGTGTTACCATGAAGGGTGAATGAGTCCAGGTGCACTCTATGACGCACATTCACACGGATTATTAATAATAAATAAATAATAAATGTAATTTATATAGCGCTTCTCATCTGCCAAGACAAATCTCGAAGCGCTTCACAACAAAGGACACTGATAAAATTAGAGAGATTATAAAAAATAAAAAAAAGTCAGAGATTGGTTGGTTGTAATGCACAGCACGCGCCAGCAGAGGGCAGGGGAGGGCAGTCCGTCTTTCCCGCTCTGAGAGCTCAGCACAGAGCTGAGCTGAGCAAGATGGCAGCAGCATTTGCCGGCCCCGAACTCGGACAACTAGTAAAAAAGAAAAATGCCTCTGCGCCTGTTTGGGACTATTTTGGGTTTACTCGTCGCCAGTGACTTCATCCAGTACAACGAGAGACAGAGGCACTTCTTTGGGAATGTTTAAGATGGGGTGAGTGAGTGTTGACATTTTTTAATCCTATGCAACTGGTTGATGGTTTTGTAGTCGAGGTCGGACGGTTTTAAAAACGAAAGCATTTACGTGCTAAACATTCACGCGAGTAATCCAATGAATCAAATGGAAAAAGGTTTTTAACACATGCACGGAATAATATTGCCAAACTAGTTAGTGAATATAGCAAACTTTATTCAATAAGTCAAGTATTTACTCCCGGAAAATGTTTATGTATGATGATATATTGTTAACTTAGCTCACTATGGAAACAACGTCGGACATCTACAAACGCGTCCTGTATCCGATCTCAAAATGTGCCATTTGCACAATGTGTCATGTATGCAGCCCTTGTTTTGCTCTTGCGCGCACGTCCCGGCACTTTGCGAGCGTCTACCGGCTCGGGCTGCATTTTACACCGAACATATAATATACCGTTCGAAACATCTATTTGCCGCCAAAC